AAAGTTTATGTAGTACTACAAAATGTATTACATAAACTTTTTTATTCCTCTAATGTACTTTAATTAGAATCCTTTTTTTAGCAGTATTCAGATACCTGGGCTTATTTCTGTTAAGAATACACCTTGTACTGTAGTGCCCATGCCAATACAAATACCAACAAAAAATCGTGACAAAATAAAAAGTTCTGCGATATTTGTATGCTTTGATAACGGTGATAAAAAGACCGAAATAATCATTAACTAAAATAAGAATATGCAGTTAATTTTAAAAGAGCTCAAATATAAAACTTATTTACAAATTTGGAATAAAAGTTAAAATATTTAGCTTAACTTGGATTAATTTTAAAATTTCATCAAAATTGTTAGATTTTTTTTTTTTTTTTGATAAAAGTACCAATAAATAGTTGTGCACAAAAGTTAATAAAATTAAATGCACTGGAAATTAATAAATTGTTATTATTTACTACGGTAAAGTAAATTTGCTTTATAAGATCATCTATGATGAGCTTATTTTTCAAATGTAAAAACAACTTTTTCACAGTCAAAAATGACAAAAACTGAACAATACTTAATATAGAAATAATGTATTACTTATTAAAAATTCAAATTAAATATTTGATAGTATTTACTAACAGTTCCAATAAGTATGAACAAGAATCGTGAACCAAAATACTTTATAATTGATGTTATCAGTGATGCTCCAATTACTGCTCCAATAAATATTATAGCAGCAACGGATGACCAAAATACTCGAATTGATAACTCAGAAAAATTAATACCATAACGACTTAAAACAAAAATTATTAATGTACTTAAAAGGTTTGCAACATTTGGAGCTTGAAAAGTATGAATTTATTTTTTGTTTCATATAAATTCCAATATGGGATTAGTTAACAGAAATTAATTAAGTTTAGATAATTTCTAAACAAGCGATTAATTATTTCCAAAGTATATGTGAATTTCATTTATCAGCAGCTTTTTTTCAGTATAAATTCGCTCGCGATTACTTCAATCTGTAGATGGAACATCAAGGTAATTACTAACTAATTAAAACAACTTTCGAGAAATGAAATTAATTGAGTTGGATAACTATTATTTTAAGTTCAAGTATTCAAATCACGACATTGTTTAAAGATATTATCAAAGTAACTCAAGCATAACCCAAACAAAGTAAGCACTAACATATACCTGTAGGTTTTGGATAAATTCTATATTTTTAATGAGATTTCTCAGATTTTTCAGTGTCATCAATTAAAATGACTTCTCAAAAAGCATCACGTCACTGTAATCATAAAAGTTTTTTATAAATACCACTAAAACGTTTATTTCTTTTGACACTTTTTTCATCACATGTACTTCAAGGTTAAAGGTTAGAAACCTTTGCAAAGATTGTAAGAGAAATCTTTGTAATGATTCACCCATCGGATTAATTACTGAGACTTGAAAGCCAAAATTGAATCCACCACCAAGAACTACAAAAATTCCTGTGATTAAAAGCCTTCCAGTTGGAAATCTCGAATCCATTTTTTTAATTGTTCCAGTAATATCAATATCACATATATTTGCAGCATCCATCGCTGATTCTTTATAACCCATTCTCAGTTTCACAGCCTGTTTAATTATTGTGCTTAAAATATTAAAAAAATATCAAAATGTGAACAATGAAGATTGCATAAACCACAAGTGTATGTGCTAATTCTTCACAATTAAACATTAATTCAAATCCAATTATATAAATCCAATTAATACGTATATATCAATAACTTTGCAAAGCTTTTTACTTGTATTATTGAATTAGCTTACAAAACAACTCAAAACAGAAACCAAAATATGCATTGTTTTACTTTTTCAAAATTTTTTATATCAATTAACCGTTTTATTTAGTAAATTAAAATAAAATAATTTACAGGAAAGGAAGAAGAGAACAGCAAATGACTCCACAGGAATGCGAGAAATTTAAATCCTAAACGATAATTACAAAAATTATGTGCATCGATTTAGACTGAAAGAATTCCTCGACAAGAATCAAGTTCTTACGATTTCTTAGCATTTTATCTATTTCATTTTACTCACGACTTCTTGTTAATAATTAATTCCGTTGCATTTCAAGTATTATCTCTCACAACACTTCAAAAATTTTCCAATTTTATTCAAATTAATATTTAAACTTTCAAAATGTTTCACCACTTCTGACTATACTAGTGTTTTGATACTGTTAATTTCAACGCATTTTATACCAAAAATCTTTCAATAAGTTATGTATTACAAAGAGCTCATCATTTAAAAACTAATAATAAATGAATATTATGCAGCGACTATTACTGCAAAATGTAATAAAGACTACTAGCAATTACGTTTCTTTGTATGTTTCAATAATTTGTGCTTTGAAACGGATTAAGAAAGTTAAAAAAACTGCAACAATGCAAAAAACTTTATCACATTTCCATCACAAATTTCTGGTACATCGGTTATAATTTTTGAACTTTTGAAGCATCAGTTTACATGTTCCTCGAGATAACATTTTATTAAATTCACACATATATTTCATAAATTTTCTTACTTTAATCCAGCGACGGAATTGAAATCTGCCCATGAGAATAAAATTTATACTTCTACAACATATTTGCACATTTCGGTAGCAAAACCAATTTAAACAAGAAATAAATAATTCAGTGCCAAAGTATTATCGTCTCTACATGTTACACAAGCATTACTTTAGGACATCATCATCTACTCAAATCCACGACGATTACTAAGTTGAAAACTTCAGCCTCAGTCAAACTAAGATCCGAAAATCACAACAAAAAGGGAGGTAAATAAATTATTCAGAAAATGCATGCGATTGAAGTGAAAACCTTATGAAATGATACTCATACGCATTTCCTGCTTTAAATAGATAAAAAAACGGAGATTAAGCTTTAACAGCTTTGTATTTCATGAATCTTAAGCACCGAATACTGAATATATTACTATGATTAAAAACACAATTTAATCCCGGACGAAATTTATTCGATCATAAATTAACCCAAGTGAGATAAACTTTCACACTGAACTTAATTAATATAAAATCTAATTCACTTGAATATCCCTGCATACATAAATCAGTTTAACAAAAAATTATCTAAAATGAGAATTTGTTAAAATGGAAATATGGGAATATTAACCAGAGAAGTATATGGCAGTTACTGATAAATGATAAAGGTTAAGGATGTAGTGCAGAAAAATACTGAACAGAAATAACAACCTTTGGGTAACACTTTATTTTATCATTTAATAAATTTGACAACATTAATGCTAGATTTTACATTAAACAGAATATTTTACACCAAACGGTGCCTGTACTATCATGAATTGAAGTAGAAATGAAGGGAAATTTTGAAAAAATGACAAAATAACAATGATTATCACTTCTAGATGGGATCCAGTGTTTTGCCTCGTTTGAACTCATCATAAATATTCAACAGCCACTTTGGTGTACGTGGCATGATTTCCCTGAGAGCTTGACTAAAATATAAATTTCATTACAAGAGAGAATAGTTTTGGAAAGATATTAAAAATTTTGAAACCCTCACATAAAAAAAATTTCCATAAAAGTAAAATGTCACCTCCATTATTAATATTTTGATACTAAAGTAGTCATTAACGATCGCAACATGTTTCCAATATATTATTTTCCGATTTCAAAAAAATTCATTAGTATAAGAACAATGTAGCCCACCTGAAAGCAATTTAGTTTCACAAACATAGTTTAAAGATTTGATGAAAACTTAATCAAAATGCCGTGAATGAAGCTCATGAGCAGCTCTATCTTCCATCAAGGCTTCGCGCACAGCCTGTTCACACAGTTCGATCAATTCCGCACCTGAGAATCCTTCAGTCTTTTTACCAATGTCCATCATATCAAAATTACTTTCAACTTTCACCTTGCTTAATCGAATGCGCAGGATTTCTAGCCTGAATAAAATGTCGTTTTTTTAAATTCTATAAATCGTTTAATTTGTATTGTTCAAGAACTAAAACTGCCTGGTTTCTAGATCTGGCAGAGGAACATGAATAGTAAGATTGAATCTGCCCGGTCTGAGTAACGCGTTGTCCAATCTGTCTGGTCGATTCGTCGCTGCCAATACGAGTACATAGCCTTTATCCTCCAACCCATCTAAAAATTTATGAAAACAATAAAATGTAAAAATTTTAGAAGGCGTAAGAAGGAATCAAACAATATATAACCTAATTCAGTAAGTAGCTGCGTTAACACACGTTCACCAACATGACTTTCGTTTCGCTCACCGCGATTTGCACCCACAGCATCAATTTCATCAAAAAAGATAACTGAAGGAGCTACCTGAAAAAAATTACAATCTCTAGAACTCTCCTATTAAAAAGAATGTACTCTATTTTTTTGATGAACTAGTCGTTATGAAACAACAGTAATCACTGAACTGCTTTTGCAATGTTTAAACTACTGTAATGTACTCATTATATTAACAACCTGTCGCGCTCTCCTAAAAAGCTCTCTTATGGCTCTTTCTGATTCACCAACCCATTTACTGAATAATTCAGGTCCTTTGACAGCAAGGAAATTCATATGTGATACAGATGCAACAGCCCGTGCTATAAGAGTCTTACTACAACCGGGTGGTCCATAAAGTAATATTCCTGATGGAGGCTTCGAACCAAACCGTTCAAAAATTTCTGGATATTGATATGGCCACAAAACTGCCTTAAAGTACCATAAATAAGACACATAACAAAAAGAAATTGCAAAAATACTACAATTATACCGCAGTAGCCAGATTTTAATATAGTAAAAAAACCATCTTTCTCTTCGCAGATTTCTATATTATCATTTTAATACCTTAGCTGTTGATTCAAATATTTCAGAACACCGAGTGTTTGTACATACTAATAATAAGCTACAATATGAATAAAAGATCATAAAAAACATGATGAAAAAAGTCAAAAAAATGATTAAGCAAAATAACTTGTAATAAAAACGACGTCAGTTATCAAAAAAGACAATCCTGCGATATAATTAACATGTTAACTGTATTCATTTACTTGTTCGATTTTTCTTTTTAAAGCCTCATTTCCCCCAATATCTTCCCAACGAACATCAGGGACTTGAAGTACAAATTGTCGAATACCAGCTGGACGCATACGTTTTAGAGCAAAGTCGAAACGCTGTAAAATATCACCAATGTCATTGGAATGAAAATTGGCCCAAACGCGATGAAAAAGGGCTTTCAAATCACCACCAGTATACCCATGTGTTTTCCTGAAACATGAGATATAATTTTTTTAGTCGAGCGCAAATTTACAAAACAAAACACTTCAGCAGATTACAAGGACAGAACAGAAAGCTATAGCAAGTGAAAAGATATCTACTTAAAGAAGCAAACTTCTTTGAACTCTGACTCAAAAAAGATTAATCAGTATGAAGGGATATAAGCGAAGGTGATTATCTATAAGCAAAACAATATTTGATGAAAAAGAGAAAAGAAAGTACTAATCCATTCGGTAGCAAGCATATATTTTAGTTAATTATAATGATATTAACAGTTACTCCTGAATATTTTATTAGATGCCATATTTTTTCTTTTTTTCAAAAACGTAAATACTGAGAACAGAAAAGCTTACTCTGCAATGTTTCTGATAATATTCGTAGCAAGAGAAAGTTTTATTTGTCTTGATTTGAAAAACAAATGCAGGATCTCCATTCTTTCAGGCAATGAAGGTACCAGTAATTCCATTTCACAAGGAAATCTTCCACGTAAAGGTAAATCAACAGCTTCGATATTACGCACGGTTAATACAAACACGAAATTTGAATTTGTATCCATGAAACTAAACAGTTAAGGATCAAAAAATAAAACAATGACAAGAACTGTTAAAACTTCCACTGAAGTAATGATCTTTTTCTTATAATTGCTTTAGAAACACTGTTTTGAATAATTGTCTCACTATCTAGCATCTTCAGATGCTGAAACAAATTTTCAAGCTTAGTTTCAAGTAAATGTGAAAAAAACTAAACATACTTGCATAATTTTTCACTAAACTGGGTGAAATTTTCAAAACGATCAATCAAGACAGCCATTTGCTTGTGAGAATTACTGGCACCATTCTCAAGAAAATTTTCGAATTCTTCCTCATTTGATAACTGAATAGCCTTATCTTGCAAACACTCTTGAATTATAAGTAACATCAGGGTTTTTCCACATCCTGTGTATCCTGAGAGTATTACTGAGCATGCTTCTTTTCCTCTAGAAATCGCTTAATTTGAGATTTTTCGATGTCTTATAACTAAATATATATAACAAACCTCATCAAATCTATTATTCAAAATTTGATATTATTGAAGCAGTAAAAAAAAATTATCGAAGTACAAAAATAACTTAAAATACCTTAAGACTGCAATAAAGATTGGATAAGAAAAGACTTTAGATGTTATGTTTTAGTATTTTCATATAAAAAAAGCAGACAATTTAATATTTTCCATGTGATAGTTGAAGAGATGTTCGAAATTCACTTTTTTTGAAGACACAACGTACAGTTCCAAAATGAAATTAAAAGCTCATTTACGATGTAATAAAACTTTCAAAATAAGCATTGTAAGTGATATTTTTTCAGGAAAACGCAGAGAAAAAGCAATATTGAAAGTAGAAAATGAAATTCATGATTACTTTCTTAAGGGTTCTATTAAAGCTTCCTCAATTTCCATCTTGACGCTCTCTGCTCCACCAAAACAATCGAATGAAAGAGGAGCAGAAGTCATCACTGGGACTGTAGTATCAATAATGTGATATATGCAATCAGATTTCGGTTTCAACAACACTGGCCGCGAGAAATTAGAGATATCCAACATCTCCATCTTTTTTTCAGTGGACATTACAATATCAAAAAAATGCTCCTGTCCATAATAATGGACGCATATAGGTGATGTGGCTAATAAATATGCATTTGATAGGTAGACTGTTAGATAATCACTGAAAATGATAACAATAAAGCAAAAATCAAATTCATCTTTCAAATCTCATTCATCCCTTGATGGATTTTTCATTTTCGCCTTTTGTTTGTAAACATCTCAATAGTTTTTCATGTGTTACGACTTATCTACATATGTCTTTCTTTTTATTAAAAACATTGCAGTTCTAAATTTGCCTAATATTCGTTTGCATTGTTTCAGAAATTGAGTAACATCCTTGTCATTCTAATCATTTTCAAGACGCTGTATGAAAAATGATTCTTTAATTTTGATAACACTTGACTCATAAACTAAATGTAATAAATACCTTGATATGATAGCTAAATAACAGTCTGTGCCTCAATTTTAAATAAAAATTAATACAGAGTTGTCCTACTAAAATTTTACTACTGTATTCTTAGGTTTACTAACCGGAAGTGTTTTCTGGCATAAACTGGAGAGAAATGACCTGCAGATGGGCGTAACTGTATGATTGATGTTCTTCGAATACTTTCACTATTCACTAGACTGATGAGATATTTTGAATCAGCTTTAGAAGTATGAGCAAAAATATACAATTCCTTCACCTCAAATAGAGCACTTTATATTCAAACTTTGCTAAAAACAAAAATTTACACAAACTAGGCAATGTGATATTTTTTATGCGATAATTGAACATACAGTATATGAAATAATTTACAGGCAAAAATTTAGTCGCAAGATCAAAAAACATTCTTTAACTTTTAGTAATATTTCATATTTAATCAAATGCAAATTTCGTATGCTAAAAGTTAGCGCAATTACATAGTTTACTAATTACAAAAACTGTTGTAATTTGTAGATAAAATTATTGAAAATATTAAAAGAACCTGTTCACACGGCCAAACTGTTACACAGCAAATATTTTTCATTGCATAACTGTTGCTATTATCATCGATACTACACAACAGGCAGGGTTGACGAGGTAATACAGGAAGTTTGTTCATTGTATTTGGATGCATTAATACAAAATTCGATTTTTCCCATCCTATTAGATCAGGTGGCAAAAATTTCGAAATGCCTGTTAAACCTTGACTCGTAGTAAGTATACCAATATTAGGAACTAAAAGATTCACGTTCGAATGCAGCAAAAATTCGCTGCCATATTCACTATTTTCCACGCACATTTTCTGGAACATCAAGCAATTAAATATTCAATACTCCGGAAATCTAGATATTCGACTAACTTTATTTTATTGCACCTGATGCATATCCAGATCTTTAGCTTGTACATAACTTGAGCAATTGGCGCATCCCACTACAGCATTCCTTTTCTTTGACGACATCACAATACAACTTACAGCTCTAAAAAAAGTCTAGAATACTACAACCATACAATCCAAACTTTCTTGATATTCAGTAAATGAACCATTAAATCTAAATCAATTTAATGGTTAAAATGACAAAATTCAGCAACGACTGAAACAAAGTTAAAGTATATAGCGCTCTATGGAATAGTACAAAGCTACTTTATGCAAATTTTCGCAACAAATAACCGGTTTGAAGACTCCGAAGGGAAGACAAAATACATTAAAAGTACCTTCTCATTACCCCAGCATGCATAAAATATCTAACCAGATGCTCATAAAGACATCTACCTTACATGCGGTGCGACTCTTTGCTTGAAACCTGACTTTTTGAATTACTACCAATTTTTATGCTTCCAATGAAGTATTCGACGTACTGAATGATCGGCGGATCAAAACTTCTTAGACCCAGTGACCATAGCTTCTACCATTCAAATCTACGAATATTTTGATACCAAGCACCAACACAGAGCATGGAAATGATTATATACGAAAATGAGCGTTACAAAGTTTGACCTCCCCAAAAGCGTTTACTTATTCAGTGTATCCTAACCTATGAAAACGTATCAGCCAGATGCTACAAATACTATAAACAGATTCTAGAATAAATTTCTTGAATGAATTTGTCCCTACTCTTTCACAGATGATTTCATGGACGTCAATCAGATTTGAAACAGATCTAATGTCATAAGGTATGAAATGCACTTCCCTTTTATTATGTTTCAGATAAAAACAGCAATCACTAATGAAATCAGAAAATATATTTAGATATGACTTTTCATGAGGAATATTTTTTGATTTCATTATGAAAAAATTATACGAGCAAAATTTTTGAAACACTAATCCACAAAACAACAAGAACAGAGAAAAGATATCAATTTTTAATCCCTGACTCTTGGCCTTCATTTATTAGAATCACATCATCATCCAAAGTAATATTTGACGGAGACTGCGTCGCACAAGAACTTGCAATTGCATTAGTAAAACCTGAAATAAAAATTCAAAAATAAAAATACACACTCCTAATAAAGTTGATTTAATCATTCAAAAAAATAAAAGATAAATAAGAACCAACTGTTATTTACCACCAAATTTATCAGGAATAGCAAAAATGTGCAATATGAATGGTTATTTGCAAGCCAATTTTGAAAAAGTAAGCAAAAATCCTTTAAAATTAATCAAAATAAAACGCAATAAATTAATTCAAATTAAAAGTCGAGTTTAAATAACTAGCTATCATATATTTCAATATAAAAATGAACTCCATATTCACCCGTTTCATCGAAATTTGCAATTACAGACTTCGATCTTCCCAGTGGAGAACGCGACCGATCACGCGACTCTGTTTCATATATTCGTGTAGGACAAGCAGCTGCTGCTCCCAAACGTTGAATCCTACGATCATGAATGATTCCTTGTAGCAATGTTCTGTATTCAGAAAACTACGATTCTTTGAAGAGAAAAACTTTTAATACAATAAATTTTATACTATATATTGCCGTTTTCGAACCAGTTTTTTTCATTGAAATCATATAATTTAAATATTTAAATGAAAAGTATATCACCGTTCGATAACTACAACAAATACCTTCTTTGATTTATTGGCGGCCTTGTACTCCATACGTGTCGTATGCGAATTGCTTCATTACCTTGTGGATGTTCATATTCGTGAAATGGCAACCGACCATCATCATATAATGAAACGATTCTACTATTTGAATATACTGGTCCTCTTTCTTCTGAAAACGCTCCTCCACAACTGTTATCCATTGCTGGTATGACATCACGAAATGATGGTATATTAAACTGTGGCCTCATCATTGACAACATCGGTGGCTGTGGTGGTATCAAAGACGAATTTTGTGAATGATCAACTTCACGACCTCTACTGGTTCGTACTTCCAGTGGTTGCACACTACCATTTGAAACAATGTGATTCTTTGATCCACTAGCTGTCTCCATAATTCGTTCACTTGAACTTGTCATTGAGATACTCCGCAATGGCTGTGGCTCACCTTCCGTAACTGGAGTGATTAAACTAGGTGCACTTACTGATGAAGTTGCCTGAAAAATAATATTTTTTTTATATACCACCAGTCTCTCAAAAATCCAATAAAGTAAAATTTGAGGAAACATCTCCCAAATGATTCACCATATATTACATAGCAATGGAATCCTCACAACAAATTTAAAACATTAGTCGTTTTAACGACAGAACAAATCACAAATTGCTTTCAAATCCAAATTAAGACCGAATAATACAACAGTTTGCAACACGATAAATTTGGAATTCAAAACGAAGTACTCTACAAATGTTTTTTTCGATTATAGAAGCTCCCGCTTATATTATTCAAAAGAGCTAAAAATCACCGGAACATCTCGAGTGCTGAACTTGGATGCACTTGAACCTCCGAATTTCTTTTCATTCCAGGCTAAAGCATTGGTAGAAACAAGAAAAAAAATTCGACTAACACACGAACCACAATAGCTGTCGTTGAATTCTTTCAACTAATTAAAATAGCAAAAATTTTCACAGTTTATCGTTCAAAAATAAAACAGACTAAAATTAAACAAGAAAACATATGTCATTCCATACAGCAAATTGAAAACTCGTGTCATAAACAAAATAAGAAACAACCTTGTAAAAATGGTCCTGGAAATGGTGGAGGTACTGAGAAATTAGGAGGAGGAATAGTAAGCTGTCCAGAAATCGTCGGTGTAAGTGATGGATACCCGAACACACTACATTTTTCGGGAAACAAATGTGGTTTTGGCGGTACAGAACCATGTGCAAAACTTTGTGTTTTGGGAAAAACGCTTACAGAATTAGAACTGCAAAAAAAAGAATAAATGAACATAATTTACTATGTCTCTCACTTGGTAAGAAAATAAGAAATATAAATATGCTGAAATCACATCAAATAAAGTAACTATACCAAGATTCTGAAGATACTGATGGTCTTGCTGATGACGTCACATTATCTGAGAAAAAGAAATAACATTAAAGAAAATTGTATAACAACAGGAGAAAATTATGCAATCAGAAACATTAATTACCCGTGTTCGAGAAAATACTTCAGATCAATATTGGCCTTTTTGTAATATATTTATCATGTAAAGGAAAATTTTAATCTTTCCATACAGTGATCAGTCTTGAAGTTGACCCAGAATGTTCTACATGTTAACATTAACCTTCAAAATAGCGATTCCTATTGCATGTTTTATTAAATAAATATAATTATCACCTGCATCTATATCCTGATTTTTTTCGCGAAGAAATTCCATAACATCCTGACCAATGTGAGTAGATAACAAATTCATTCCACGCTCACTCATTAGTTTCTTCAAAGCTTCCATGCATTCTCGTAACAAACTCATTTCATGGCTATGCATCTGACGCATTTGCCTGAAATGCATCTCAATACAAGATGTTCTGGAGGAATAAAACGATGTTTTCATCCATATCAAAGAACCGGTTTGAAAGCAAGAAACAGACTCTAATAATTTTCGCCGATTATTGGCAAATCGGACTTGCTCTCGATCTAGTTCATATATATCACAAAGCAAACGGCGTAAGCCCACATCGTTTAATTCTGCCAACTAAAAGAATGGTAAATTCAATCATTACAAAAAATCACAAAATAAAACAAATTAACACCAAAAAATCTTAATAATAAAGTGGACATGAATACTAGCCATGCTTTGATTTTGTGAAACAAAAATAAGTCACACAAGATGCAGAATTACGTAATCTATATTTGTTAAAAATTGCAATGAATAGAGCTTTCAATAAAATTTTTGATATAACGATACCACATTAGGTGTCGGTATTTTCCGTACGCGAAGACAAATTTGCTCTGGTGACAATCGTGGTTGCCGATAATCACTTTCTACATCAAAGTGGAGCTGCGAATGATCTTCCTGATCCAAGCAGATTTCCTCCTCAGAATCCAATTTCTGGCAGTTAAAATGACCATTTTCTCTGTAAATTCACGATCACAGCCAATGTTTCACAAATTATAGTGCTCAAGCTATAACTGAACTTTAAGCTAATGCAAGGAAAACAATATGCAAAAAATTGAAAATATTATACTAAAGGTCTAAAGAATCAACAATCAATATCATTTTCCTTTCAAAAGTATGTTAGCAAAACAGGGAGCATAAGTAAATTCTGACATAGCTTCCGGTTGAATTGTCGGAACCAGATCTCTTTCATCCCCACTATCATCTTTGATCTCACCAGAGCTTGATGAGCTGAATGAATTTTATTCATGACAATACTCAGAAACATGATGCAAATTTGAAAAACCAGAATGAAGCAATAAATATCGCTTGAAGCACGCCAACGAGAAAAAAAATTTTTAACTGAAACTGTAGCAAGGAAAGTGAAGGAACTACGCTCTGAAATTTTTTTTAATGCTGAAGAAAAACATTGAAAATATCTGTAATCCTTCAATCTAACCTAAACTACTACATGGTACACGATTTAATCTTGGACAAATGGAGTAAATGAAAACGAACTCTACTTGTGAATTACCTGACCCATCATATGTGTTGTGCAAATATAGAAAAGGAATTCAAAGACACAGGACTGGTAAAAAAAACATTTATTGTCTTTCAGAGTAATATTCAAAACTTGTTTGCATGCATCATTCTCGCAATTTCATACATTTCCCACCAATTACTTTATAAGAAGTACATTCCAATTTAGCTACTCACACTATTTATGACTTTTCTTCACATTCGCAAAATATAATAACATTCAAAGATTTCAAGTATGAATGAAGTTAATCTTTTTGAAAAAAAATTAAATTTTCATGAAATACCCGCATGGTGAAGTTGTCAGATTCTCATTTACTGTATCTGATTCCAATACATTGATATCTGAAAAGAGTTTATAAGGATTTCAAATAAAAGGGATGAAGAACAGGAGTGGATAAGTTCTGAACAAAGTCTTAAAGAATATATAAGCGCGTCATAACGTTAAAAATATATCTCAAGTCCCAATCTTCATAATAACAAGCATCATAAAGAATCATAATCCCGAATCACTGAACAGTTTAATCTGAACTTGAAAAAGCAAACAGTTCCATTAGTATCCATCCAAGTATTGCTATGCACAAAAGATGTAATCACAATCACCAAAGAAACTCCCCAAGAATCCTGACCAGGAATAACCTCAATTTTATCCAGAAAACATGAGAATGTTTCACTTGTAGGTATGAAATCTCCAACTATATGCAATGAATCCCAAACAGTTCCAAGATTGTATATACGGTGTTAGAGATGTCAAGAAAAACGACACATGTTTATTTTTAATGAGCAGTTTCAGAGCAACTAGAATTACACTTTTGACTTTCAGTACTGAATCAAAGTTTTTACGTTTATTGCCAAATTTAAAACTTTACCATAACTTCATTTCTGCAAAAAAATTCAAAAAACTTTGCACGGAACGACAAAACTCAAGTTACAATACTGACATTGTAAAAGAAATTACTTTTAGCACTATATTTTAGATGAGATGAGCACGGACCTGAAACAAAAACTGCATGTTTTCTGGAGAAAATCAAGAATCATTGAGGATGACAAACACGTATGCCCATTCAAACGTACATACGTTTACTAAAGACAATCAACGCAAAAAACGCTACCGATCGACTCTTTTGTATCGCCCATAGAAATCAGCTTACAACATACGTGGTAACGACTTGATACATCAACTCCGCAACTTTACGCTACTTGAACTTTACGTTACGCCAACCCGAACAAAGACTGAATTTTCTAATGATTTCGCCACCTACTTATTAAACTATTGCAGAACAAGTTTTCAATATGAGACCATATATTTTATAGGAGCTTTCTAGTTCTATATCCTTTTACTCTAGTCATGAGAATCTTTACATTTTGTTCAGTAGTTACGATATTACTGGAAGCAGGAAATGAAGTACATTGCGGATTACACGTCGAGAACGTATAACTTTGTATATAATCCCATCACGAAGTAATGTTTCTGCACTAAAAACTATGCAATTTGTAATTTCATTAAACTGTTGCAATTTTACACATAATATGGCTCCGACAAACGATTGGAATTGAAACTTTAACAAAAACAGTAAAGTGAATTTTAAGAAACATTTTCGACTACATACCCAAGTTCAGGGACTTTGTTTTGCTTCGTACAGTTTCGAATAACACAAGACCATGCGCCATGCAATTCTGTTCGACGGATTCAAAGTAACTAGAGAAATCTGATGAGAACAACAAAACTTGATGTTATTTAATAAGAATTGAGTGTTATTCAAAAATCATGTTGAAATTAACAACATCACATCGCTTTTATTAAAATAAGAATTATTTATCTTCCAGCAAGTAGATATATGAGCTCCAATATTATGTAAACCCTGGCTACATGATACAAAAACAATGATTTCTATATATAAGATGGCATTATGATAGGAAGTTTCATTCCTGTTCTTTAGCTATCAGTTCTATCAGTTCTTCTTCCAAGCGTCGTAATTTCGACTTCGTCATAGATGAGTAAAAAACTGAGTACCAACGAACTCCAATTGAAACCTTGGAATTACAAAAAATGCAGTTTAGCAACATTGGCATTGAAACATCAAGTTGTAGAATATTAGATAGGATAATCCATTTTTTATTTCTCGTTTATAGAATCAAAAAACGTTTGCTACCCCATCTGTGAATATTAGAATTTCAGAAAAAGTAAAAGCTATAAAGACCAATCTCTCAATGTTCTGTTTCTATGTGCTTTATATCATAATTAATGAAATTAATCCAAAAAAACCTTAGTTAAACGAAGAGCAACACCAAGGCATACAATAGCGATTGTTTGTGGACTATGAGAAAGTATCCAGTCGGGATCTGCATGCGCATCACGTAATACAATGAAAGATATGGTTCCGATATGGTAATTAACGAACTCATGCGGACACCAGTGCATAAGGGAGGAGATGTAGTGCAGCAAATACTATAAACACAATTTTTTATAAAAAACACCATAAAAAATAGTTCTGGATGTTAGTTAGATAAGCATGAAATATTAGACTTAAATATTTAATTTTCAGGTATCAAAAAGGTATGGTAAAAGTGATAATAAAGAGAGGAAAATGTTACCTTATGTGGATTATCTACAGTTAACCGAAATTTCAATAACCGTAATACAATATATTCCATTCGTGAAAAACTCGTCCGTAAAGCCCAAGATTCTTCATCAAGTTGCAAGGTTTGTGCAAGAGGATGAAGTATACTCAATGCAAAATATATTAGAATCTTTGATTTCTGTCATACTCCGCAACAAAATTAAGTTGACTTCGAGAGATGATCGCTAATCTCTCTTTTAAGGGCATAATTCATAAAGTAAATCGTTGAAAGTGTCAAAGTAAAGTGATAAAGGACGATTAACCTGTAAGCAACATTCACGACATCCCTTGTTTTAACCAAATCGTCTTCTTCCACTTTAGCCGCTAATAAAAGGCATGCTGAAGCAATGGTCTGGAACAAAAAAATAAGTTTCATTTATTCCTGATAAACATTTGAAATAAATAAAAGAAACTGAACTCAACATGTGTTTACAATTTTCATGTCGAAACAGAGAAGGAAACCGATGGTAAGATATTCTATGGAGCCAATGGAATAAATACCTGTAGCAAATAGCTATAGTTTCTCACAAATTAAAATACGGAACCAAAATTATTGAGATACTTTACTTACATAAGGACATAACCGAGCAGCAGCACTTTTCCTCAATACCCGGTACGTCAAAATGGCAGCTGTACATATAGTCGAATTTTTTGCTTCCAACTTGATTCCTGGAAAAACAATTATGAAAATATCTTTGTGCGACTAACGGTGATGATGAATTGCTAAATAAATATTTAAAAAGTATTATAAGAACACTTACCAGCTTCAATTACAAATACGAAAACTTTTCTCTGACTCGTTGAATTCATCATGAAACGAAAACAAAGTTTATGAAAAGCTCAATAGATTAAAGGATAATCTTGAAATCCAGAACTTACTTTCAGCTGGATCAAGACCAGTAAGCAGATAACACGGCTAATAAATATAAAATTTATGGGAAATTTAAATCAGTATACATTACAAATTGAGTAAGATTTGTCAATAAATGTTAGTACAAGATATAAAAATTGACCTTCATACATATGATAGGTAATACGTAATTCAAAACATGAAATCCAATGAAATAACAAATACGTTAAAACATGAATTTGCAGTAACAGTGATCATTTGAAGAATAATTGTATTTCATCCATTAATTATCTCGCATCACTAATTTAATTCGAAACTGAAAATCTGTAGGTACACAGTGAATGTATGACAAAAGAAATATCATGCAACAATGGCACAAATAGTATCACCATCTGACAATGAATAAAAACTCAAAGACCGTAATGGCTTATCCAGATCCATTATTGATCCAGAATGATCTTGCGATTGCAATGAGATCTATAAAATTATAATTTTATTACATTCAAATACCTTCACTGCAGTGTAGTTTTCAGTTAGATACTAGTTTTTTTAAAACTAAATCGTTTCCCTTATTTTTTCACTTTACTAAATATCAAAAAATGATTAACTGTTATAGTAATAATTAATCAAAGAAAAATAAAATAATTGGGACTCTTCAACAATGATTTAAAATTCATATATATATATATAAGAAAACTTACATTCCTAGAATCCAAACGAAAAAGTCTGCTTATAATACCAATTAACCTCTGTACGGTCATTGTATCAGGAAATAGACGTTCCATCACTTGTCCTCCACATGATAACTTTAATTTCAGTAAACCGATCTTACCGTATGATGCGCAAGGATGATTCAGTGGCTCACCGTATATTTTAACCAGTCTATATCGATATAGATCAAAAGTTCTACACAATTATTTTTTATGGAATCCACTAACACTGATATGTGAAATAAAAAGTTTGTATTAAGAATGGAAAAAAGAACCCTTAACAACTGACAACAACACTGACCTTTCAATAATAAATTTATATTCATGTGCCACTGGAGGCACACCATACTTGTTGAGAAAATAGATTTCTGCAGAACTTCTTTCTTGTAATGTTACTTCTGAATGACAAAGGAACCTGAGCTGCGGTATAGCAGAAATAATAATTTCATTCAGATCATTTCCTGAGTCAACAATACTATTTTTGGTATAATTCAGCTTTTCCAAGGAAGGCAGTTTAGCTAGCTCCAAAACCCATAGTTTCTGAAAAAAATATGTATTAAAATTCTATAATTCTTTCCAAAAAAATTATCAATTCACAACTTCGAATTGAGTTTACAGTTTGCTATAAATTTGACATTCACTATTATTTAATTATGGTTTACAGTTCGCAAGCACACAGAACCAATAGAATTTCTGAACAATCCAATTAATTTTTCTGATGAAATGAACTTCCTGCACAAATCACTTAAAAAATTCACATTATCCATTGGGTTATTGCTGATATTCAGTGAAGACAGTGAACTAAATCCATTATCTGGTATCCGAATATCACGAAAACCGCAATGAGCTACATTTAGACTCTGAAGCCTGAAATTTAACTTAACTTTCTCTTCAAAAAAACAGACGAAATAAAAAAGCGACACTAGAATAAAGATGATAAATTTGTGCCAAATATTAACTTTGGTAACGTCGATAAGAATTGGAGGTTAGAAAAATCGTTAATTGGGTTTCCTTCTAAATCGATGGATTCCAAGTTCTGGCCAAATTCTCCAGGATCGAAGGTTTGAATGTTATTGTGATCCAGATAAATTATTCGTACATATGGAAAATGATACATGATTTTTTTAGCCTAAAATTGAACGTCGGCGTAAGAAATGACAATATTTTTTGAATCCTACGTTTTCACATTTCATATCATTCAAGAACCATTTCAACGATTTATATATTTAGCACTGTCGTACATAACAGATAATAGAAAACTACTTATTAGAAAACATACAGTTTCGTCGTCTACACAACATTCGCCAAAAGCTAAAGTATGAAGCGGAGCAGTCACTACTCGATCATCAGCAACTGATTCCATTCTCCGTTCCATATGGTTGCAGCTGAAATTTATAAATCACAAAAAATATATTAACCTTTCTTATAGTAATGCTTTACCCCTCATTTTAGCCTTCAATTAAAGTTGATCGCCAGTTCGAAAGGTATATAAATTGAAATGACCTTAGTACATATGCAAAAAAAAAAACCTCGCAAGAAGGCAACGTAATGAAGGGAAAAAAGAGAGTATATCCAGCAAATCACACCATCGCGAGAGTAAATTATTATGCAAATTCAGTTCCGTACAATTCGTAAATGGTGAACAATTTTTACATGGAGCACTCGCTACTCTCATGCCATCAACAATGATTGTTTTTAATGCCCATGGATTGCTAGAAAAATTTATTTTCTCGAATACTGGTAAATTTTTCATAAGAATACTTCCAACAAATTTTATAGCATAGCAAATGTGTATGGAAAAGAAAACATGAACGCTGCCTATAAATAAGTTCGTTTCGATGAATTATGATTTTTTCGAAACATTTTCTAATATCTACAATATTTTTTGCAAGCACATGAAAGATTTATCATTTTAAATACGCACAGTGAGTTAACATATATGTATATGCGAAATCAAAGCACGAATAAATATAAATATGTATACCTCTGTTTTTTATATACATTTAAATTCGTATGATGCAAGTTTATCCGCCCATATATCTTATCACTGGGACCGTTGTTGACATACTTATCTTCTATTTCTTCCAGCAAATTTCTTCCTACACTGACTGCTTGAGGTCGAACAAATGAACCACTTTTGGCAGACCTGAAAGTAGTAATTTTTTTACTAATAGTCTATACATTGGTAAATAACACACTGTTGACAGGAAAACCGGGCTTCCTAATTTTTGATGTTCTACTCAGTATCGCAGTTTCTACACAGCTGGCCAAAGAAAACTACTAACCTTGCACAAAAATATACTTTTCCATCCAATGTGCCATCATGTTTTCCTCTCAACGGATCATCCCAATCGATCCCAACCCAGTCACCGCTATATCCTTCAACCGCACCAGTATAACATACCACCCCACGATCAACACCGACTTTGACTCGATCACCAATAGAAAGCATAGCTATTAGACAGTATACGCCACGATTTTACACTTGATTTTCGATTCTTTAAATAATAATGGTTCTACCTCACTGCTAAGAATATATGTTCTAACCTGACTTAAAACTATCATCTATTTATAATATCAATTTACGAAAACTTCGTAGGATATTTGCGAATAATACGTTGATGTTTCACACAACGATAGCAATTGGTGAGAAATTGTGCAATCAAGGTAAATGAAGAATTGAAAAACTGTAAACTGTAAAACAACATAGCAAAGTATTAAAATTTCCAGAAGTGGAATATTTATAATGATGAATTCCTAACAACACACTGATGTCACATTTTCCTATACAGTGAATACTTATGAAAAAAACTACATTCCGCCGGAAAGTACAACATCACTGTCACGCTCTGCAAAAATCACCGAACTCATTTCGGTGATTTCGTATTAAGAATTTGAATCATGACAAACTGAATTCACGATCAACAAATCAACGTGCTCTCGATTTTTTTTAGCTTGATTCTAACATTTTTATCACAAACACGAATATCTTGCCGCAAATTTTAACATTATGTGTCTTTCTCATTTCCTGGTTTCATCAACACCAACAATTTTAGTTCTTGCCATTTGATCATGTAAATAAACGAAAGATGAAATCAAACTACGGAATGCGTAAATCTCATAAGAAAATACATCACAGTGAAAGGTTTGGAGAATTCATATTGGATTGAAGGATGACTTATCGAGCAACGAATAGTTCTCAACCAAGCCCATGATCTTCAAAAAATCCTTGAGGTGTTTCTTCCTAAAGCACAATTTCTCTGATTGCTGCAGCAGATAAGCAAGGAGTTTTAGTAGCACTAATTCAGTAGATAGGAAAATGTAAACTGAACGACTATGCACTAATTCTGAATCAATAAAATTTATTATTCTCCAAAACTAGTTAGATTTGAGAACATAAAAAAATATTTGATCCTCTGTTAATTATTCTAAAATCACTAAGCGACTGATCTACTCAAATATAATCCTACTTACTAAACAACTACCAATTTTATGCTGTTCAAATTTGATAACAAAAAAAATCTCTAAAAGCATGTGATATCTGCACCTCAAGCAAAAATTTCAACTTCTTGGTAAGTCGAAATCTTCTAAAGTCTAAGAATTAAAGTGCGAACCTCCTGTATAAGATCTTGTGCTGCAATTGCCTTCAATACTTGTTTTTTGCTAGTCTCTTGTATTTCACCCGCTAGGAGGAATTCATCTAATATGAAATATGCCTTTTCGAAATTGAAAATAATATCTAATTCACAAACCTGCAAAGCATAGCTTCATTTAGTACAAATAAGATGGAAACGATTGTATTTGTTGAGTATAAATTAAAGACATTACAAAATATATTAACACATATTAATATTCATATCAACGGAAAAAAAATTAAATTAAAGCAGCACAATGAATAAAAGGATATTCACGCAATAACTTTACAAAGGTGAAGTATACAAATGTTTTGTAATTAACGACTCGTTTTCACTCTGATAATAACTTACACTGCCAAAATATTTGTCCAGTAGTTCAACAAACCGATGTATAATTTCTAAGCATAATAATTCATTATCTGTTTGTTCGACTGCACAACAAAAATAAAGAGAAGCGTACCTAAAATTTAAAAAACTTTCGAGCCTTTAAATAACATTATTTATAGAAAATAACTACAATTTTCCAAGACATTAACTAATTAGATAGAAATGCGATAGCAGCTACTGCAACAGAAAAGAATAATATTAAAAAGCTGAAACATGAGCAAAAAATAAATAGTAGGATCAGTATAGAAATCAGTAAGAAGAAGGATTCAGTTTTTCAGGCGGGAATAAATAATTAAAGTAAAAATGGAAATGATTTTAAAAATTTATCGGTTTCCTACCGTTTATAAACAATTTTAAGATCCTTATACTCCAAAAATGCACACATTTTGGGTTTTCGAGCTAGAATTGTAGTGATCAATTCTCGAGTGATTTTTTTTTTCATCTGCAAATAAGTTTTTTTTCCACAATCATTTGTATACTCAAAGTATACAAATTTCCTTACTTATTTTTAAATCTAACCGCTTAGATTGAAAAATAAGTAAGGAAATCTTCTATCCAATTACTAATTTACTTACAAACTCGTTTAATATTAATTTTTTTTTTTTTGCTCTGACAAGTAAATTATCCCATCAAATACTTAATATGAAAAGATTTTATGATCAGTGTTACAAATTACACATTACAGACTTCATGATATAAATTTTTGAATTACGAAGTAGCATTTGAAAAATTCTTTTTGAAACTTTTACAACACATTTAATTTTAACACGAACTGTATTATATATTCTCAACTCTGTACTGCTATTGTAACAACTAAAACATAGTTCTAACCATAGACTTCCTGATCATGTCTTTCACTCATTTACTGTCGTCACTAAAAAAATCAACATGACTGCTAAATAACTTACCTTTTCCTGATATGCTACATACCACTTCTGTAAACGCAACTTTCCCTGCCTACTAAACAGTAACATAAATTGCATCATTTTAGATTATGATTCAGTATGATTCAATACCTTCAACCTAAAATGACCACAAAATTATGCAGTTGAAAAGCGAAAATAGATGAAAGCTTTATATGTCCATGTTATTAAGACATGAAATGTTATTAGCGATTAGTAATAAAATGTGATAATTATGGTAATTGAAAAAATCGATAACTTTGATTTCTTTAAGACTTAAAGAAAGCATAATTTCGAGATAGATCATTTTCTAATCAAATAATGAGCTGCGCCTTATTCCACAGTAGTAAAATTTTCTAGCTCAACGCAAAAGAAGCACATGAATAGACCTACTTCACTCAATATTCATAAATTATTTACTCAATATCAAGTAATAAATACTAATCAGATGAAGTTAATCATACATATTTCGCAAATTCAGTTAACTGCGCCAAACACTGATCCAACCCAACAGCTCACTCCACCCAACCCAAATACAAAGTCAACTCAACTCAAGCTTAAGCTCATTCATTGCCAATTTTGCTCTCAGCAACAGTTGATCAGCAATTAGTCTCGACACGATAAATTGCACACAGTACTGTTAAGATCAATAGCGTGTAATTGTTTTTGTTTATGGTTAGCTAGTTTCATGCTATTTGTCGTCGCGGCTTTTCCAATGTGGTGCTCATGCTTAATTGTTTTAAAGCTTGAGGGGTAGTGTGAGTAAGTTAACTATGTTCACGCCAAAATAAATTAAAATTACTTTATTGCAGCTAATTAAAGATAAAGCTAATTAATTGTGATCACGTATTTGCGTGGCATCTGATATCGAAGGCATCACTTACATTATTAAGTCCAAATTTGATAGAAATGTTATAGTAGTGCCTTTTTTGAGTTGTGTTTAAGACGTGTGTGGTAACTGCAATCACTCACATCAATTGCAGTTTTGGATTTATTTTCCATAAGATGGAGATCTAAGGACAAACTTTACTCTGTTACGCTGATTTAGGCTACACTGACTAATTTTTGACTCGAAACTTGAATTCTGAACATTGTAAATGAAAAGTTGATCTCCCGACCGTAGTCACTAGCTTTTAAGTTCAGAATTTTATTACTTTTAGCCTGAAGTCCATCTTTTATTGTCGACTTTAATTGACCTAAGCAGTATTACGTTCATAATACAATAATTTTCATGTCGGAAAAGTTGTATTTGATATGTGGGCGAGTTTTGTATCTAAGGGAAGATCCAAAGCTAGAAATTTCGTATAATTTTGGATGTTAGGGATCTGATCAAATGTTTAATATACTACAGAGCTATTGTATTTTGTAATTTGAATAAGTTCTGGACTCACAAAATGAAGGAATAAAATGGATGAATATTGTAACAAATTTCTACTTATTCACTAGGTATCTGTTAGTTTTGTGTTTCAATTTTTCAGTGATCGTAGCAAAATAAATGTTTTGACAAATTTAGAATAGGATGGAATCTCCAGAAGCACCAGTCACTCCAGCACTTTTTCGTCATGGCGACCAGTCGACAGCAATGAATATATCGGACAGTGAAACTCCGTATACATCAAGCACGCCAGATTTACATGTAATTGCTATTCATCTTTCAGTTCTTAGTTTTTTACTCTGTAGAGTTTACTGTACACCAATGTGTCTTTTCTTGAAAATTTGTGCATCTGAACTTGCGATATATGTTTGATCGTGAAATTGAGAGAATGGATTAAGGTCAAGAAATTTTTTAGAATGATTCCGTCATGATATGTGTAAGGCAACTCTAACAAATTCTATGATACATTGAATTTTTTTAAATACACAAAAAGTACTGTCAACTTTCGGAAATGTTAAATTTTATGGTAGTTTAGATAGCACACACTGAGCATAAGGATGAGTTGAAGGAGTAAAATAGAAGTTTCCGACTCAAATTATTGTTCGACGTAAGAATTTTTGAATTTTTGATGTTTAGTTCTCGTTTCTGAATATTCAGATCACATTTAACATGGTTATCTTCAATTTAAAAGCATTTATTTGTTTATTGAACTAAATTGCACAGCGACATCATTCCGCAAAAATGTTGTTTCGTTGGTGTTTCAGCTTTTGCTTCAGATCGTGCACTAAGATCGTACTCTCTTTTTAGAAAGTTCAGTCAACAGCAACTTTCGTTGATCATCCTTCAACTTCACGTGCGTGTACAGCTGAACCGTTAGGAAATAATATTCCAGATCGACCGGAAGTCTTCTCCCTTTCAAAACGTAAATCACGTTCAGTTGCTGATGTATTTTCCGCCCTTGATAAAGATAAAGGTTAATTCATATCTTTTATCAATTACTGGAGCAGCGTTAAAAATATATTTGGCTTTACAAAAGTTTCTATGTACGTTTTCCGTTTTGAAATGCATATAAATCAAAATAGAGTAAAAAAACCGTACTGGTCGCTGACATGTTGCGACGATTTAGTATACAGTTCGGAAGCAAAAGTTGGTTGTTACGTCAGTATTTAGTTACAGGTACGGAAATAAGTGTGAATGATGTTCGTTGTTATGATGCTCTTGTTAAAGAACAGAAATCGATTGTAGTTGAGTCAAATTATGATTATACTCCTAAGCGCAAAGATGAATTAAATTTGAAGCGCGGATCAACAATTAAAGTGATACGTCGCGATGGGTTAGAACAGTCTTTTTTCAAATTCATTGCTATAGAAAAAGCACTCTCAGTTAAATTAGAGTTATAAAAGCTGGCATTCAACATTTGTGACAGTTTTACTGGTATTTTGGTGGTTTGTGTTATTGGTTGACATTAAAATTTCGTTAACAGTGATATTCTGATTTTGTAGAGAGGAAGGTTGGTGGTACGGAGAAAAAATGGATGGGAGCGGAAAAAAAGGATTTTTCCCTGAAAATCATGTACAGCTAGCTAAAGGTTTGGCAAAGGAAATCGATCTAAATGATGTTAAGTTTACTGGTCTACTCGGGGCTGGTGGATTTTCAGTGGTGAAATCGGCAATTTATCAGGGACGGGTAAAAGCTTATATTTTTGAAGTTAATCTTTTTTTTAAGAAGACAAAAAAAAGCAAAAAAAAAAACGATGTTTCACCTTCATATTGCACAATTGCTTCCTCTAATCTATTTTAATGATGTTTATTAAAATTTTGAAATAATTGATAGTGAAATCTGTCATAATAATAATTTTCGAAATGTATTGAAAACCATTAGATTTTTATTTTGATTTACTACTTAATTGATTAATTTTTGTAAGGAATTTTACTTAATATTTTGTAGAATGCTTGATTTTTTTTGAAGAAAAAACAGAATGGTCTTATTGCTCTTAACAAATTGTTATTATTTTTCATATTATAGGAAGTTGCAGTTAAAACTCCACATTCAAAATATAGCAGAAAAGAAATATTAGAAGGTGAATGAACTATTAACATTTGAAATTTTGCTTGTTTGTAACTAAAAGACCCTCATCATTGTTATTCATTTCAGTATCTATTCGATTATTTTTTAGTTCGTCTGTGAAAAGGAATTTTATGCTTTATTGCGTTTTTATTTTTTTAACTGCACATTTTGCAGATTGATATGTTTTAATTTGAGAATGAATATTTCTTATTTATCTCCTTTTATAAGGGAGCTCGGATTTTTTTAAATTTAACAATCAAGTTTTAGAAAGTGCTAATTTATATAATTAAGCTGTTCGAGAAGAAGCAAGTATTTTTCAAATGTTAGATCATGGAAATATTGTCGAAATGTATGGTGTGATCGTTGGAGATGAACCAGCACTGGTTCTTGAGCTTTGCCGAGGTTAGCAGAAATGTTAATTGTCGCATATTTCCTTCAGTATATATATTAAATATTTTTCGTGATGAAATCGTGTTAAATATAACTCTGTATGTAACATTTAGATTATTTTTTCAGATTCATTAGCAAAAGTATGTTCTAGTAAAAAGAATATTTCACTTTCGGAAGAAATAATTAGCAATTGGGGTATTCAAGTTGCTCGCGGAATGAACTACTTGCATAGTCTGAATGTACTTCACAGAGATCTGAAAGCAGCTAATGGTTGGTTTTCGAATTACTGTACAAATCAGTCTATTCTGAGGTATAATTTGAATGTGCTAGTTGAAATTTACTGCGTTCAGTAAAAGCCATTTAAGATAAATTTGATGTGTAAAAATCTAAGCAAAAATGTGAATGTATTGTTTTGAATCTTTTGAAACCCTTCTTATCTTCGATTTTCTGCTTTCATATTTCATGTTTAAGAAATAAAGTGTCAATTTTATATTTATTTTAAAAGTTGTGTTACGCTCGAATTTGCTTGCAATTTCAAATTCACTGTCTTTTAGTTCTAATCAAAGAAAAGGTTTGCGATTGCTTATTGAATTCACAAACAAGCAGCGATGAACAGCTAACACATTCGTTCCAAGCCAAAAATGGAATTTGTCAGAAATGTGGTGGTTCAGCGTTAAACTGCCTCACTTTAAAAATTGCTGATCTTGGTCTATCAAAAAAACTGAGAGTTCCTGATTGTAGGTAAGCATTTTTGTGATAATTTCGGGATCGAAGTTTACGAATTTCAGCTCGAGGAATTTCTGCAAATTAAGTCGTGCTAAAAATTTTATTTTAAGCTTTGGTGGTACCAGAATTGTACACTTCACACTGTTTCTTTTTTTTCAGGATGAGTGTTGTAGGTACGATACCGTATCTTGCACCGGAAGTAATTCGTGACCGTAAATGTTCTAAAGCAATGGATGTTTGGAGTTTTGGTCTCGTTCTTTGGGAAGTGTTAACTGGTGCAACTCCTTTTGAAGGTCTTGGTCCAGGAGCTGTGCAATTACAGGTTTAGTCCGCTACATGTTAAGTTTTTTATGGACTCAGTTTGTTTTTTTATTCAAAATAGTTCGTGAATCACATGAAGAAGCAAGATGAAAGAGAAGCATGCTATAATGCTTAAAAAATAATGAATGAAGATTTTTCATGTTTAGATAGGGACGTTTGTCAAACAAAAAATTCCCTCGTCTTGTCCTGCAGATCTGAGACAAATAATTGAAAGTTGCTGGCATGATGATCCATTACAAAGACCAACATTCAAAGATCTGATTATTGATTTGGAGAACTTCAGCAACAAATTCCGAGCATCAAACCCGTATGATCAAACTGTAATTGTTGAATTTTTTACTCTTTTTTGAAACTTAAGGAGGCTAACTTGTTTACATATCTATGGAAACTATTGAGAGCTCCGTCTACTTCCACATCAAGATAGACTGAGCGACATCGTAACATCTGATAATAAGACAAATCAAATAGTTTTTGGAATAATTCAAATTTCTTAACATGCGCAGGTGAAATTAGTTTGATTCTTCCTTAATCGATTCATATTATTTCATTATTTGAGCTCTTGGAGAATAGCTTGCACAAATTAAGAAAAAGTATGATGGAAGAAATATCAGCGATTGCTAATGAAATGGCGAGAAAAGCAGAAGAGTTGCAAAGACGGGAAGAAAAGTAAGCTTGCATAATTTTTGGCTTACGAAATTATAATTCGACGCAATCAAATGTGACAAGTTGAGTTAATTTTGTAACTGTGTTTTTCTTTCAGCGTTAAAAAGGGTGAACGAGAATTGGAACTTAAACGGATGATTTTTGAACTGCAACAAACTTTATCGGAGAGACCACCAAAAGAAAAACCATTGCCGCCGAAAAGACGGCAGCATTTGAAGTGCGAGGATATATCAAAACCTTATGGTATGATTAGTGCGTCGTGTAGTTCACCAAAATTTTTTAGTTAGATTTTAAATATGATAAAAACTGTATCACGCTGTGGATATATAGTAAACTTAGCAAAATGTTTGGGCTGATTGAAAGCTTCAATTTCTGTATTTTGAAAATAATTTAGTATTCGTATCGATTCAAGGGGATATCCAGTCAATTTAATGATAAATATGACAACTAACGATTTTCATAATTTCAGATCTGAAAACTGAGATTTCATTGACCAAGAATATGCAAATGATTAAATGTAAGAATTTGAATTTTAGATCCCATTTTATGTTTTCATACAAGAAGTTATGAAGCACATTTTTTTGTTGTGCAATGTGTAATTTATCGTTCAGTAGTTTTCTGTAATGTTTTCTAAATATGATGCACATAATTCTTATAAAAATCTTTCGATTTTGACTTCCATATATTGAGTGTTGTTCAGTATGTTCAGTGCTGAATTTTATGCAGATCCAATATAAAATAAGCTTGAAAAAGTAGTTTATTCGTTGTGGTTTGTGTTTGAAATTGTGTTTGATGTTTGTGAGTCTGTCTTTTAAGCGATGAATGGAGATGGAATGGATGGAGTAGTAAATGGTGTACCAGTAAATGAGGATTGGTCTCAAATGTCCAACAGTATGCATGTGGATGGAACTGTTCTAGGATTTGCTACACTACCTCGAATTCCGAAAAAACTCATATTAAAAAGCCAGAATCTTAATTGTGTTGGGGACTGTCCAACTCAACAACGAATGCCATCAAAAAGTACACCTGATCTACTGAAGCTTTACCGTCTTCCGCCTCATAATGCAAGTCCCAAGCTCAAACGTGTCAATGCTTGTAAAGTAAAGCGTGATTCTGCTCGTACTAGTGCCGAAGAAGAGGTAGATGAACAATGTGTAGAAGTTATTAATGATAAAGGTTGGTTATATCAGTTGAATGTTATTGCTTTATTTGGCTGGCGTTTGAATATTATAATTGCACGTTTGTGTTTTTATCAAACTTCTTTGTAAAGGCATCTATTTGTGATATTTTCACTCTGATTATCATGTGTCGTCATTGGAAGAGCATATAGGGTATTACTGTTGTGATTATTCCATGACTTTTTAAAGTAATTTTCAAACTCAAATAAACCATATTACAGATTTGGAAAGTCTTCTAGAAAGTACAAGTCAACAGCCGAAAACTTCCTTAGATCATTTAGCTACACCACGACGTATTGTGCAGCTACCACCATCAGTGAAGAAATTACCTGCTGATCATCATGTTAGGTATATTTCCTACAGTTTTGACTCATTTTTCATTCTTCGTTGTATACACGTCGATTAAATTCGTGTGTTCTTTCATTCCTTTCTCTATCACAGAATTATGATTAGATTGGCAGTGTCTCATTCTTTGTTTTTCAGAAATTACTGCTGATTTATGATTCTCTTTTTTTTTCCCATAAATTTGGCAAAATTATCCTAATCAAAATTATGTTGGGAAAGCAATGATTTTTAGGTCTAGTTCTGCTGCTGATGACCGTCCGCGTTCGAAAATGAGTAGAGAGGAAGATCGTGGATTCTTTCGTAATATTTTCAAACGTGACGCAAAAGAACGAGCAGGTGCAACTAAACATTTTCTACATTTTTTGTTTTTATTAATTTTATTTATTACATATCCTCATTTGCTAATATAATATTTTAAGTTGCAAGTGCCTATTTGCTGGGTCCAGTACCTTGCCATCTTAATTTGAAGTAAACCATAGGTACAGTTTTCAATTACTGATAGGTTTCTAATAAGGACTTATTTACTTTTGATACCTAGGCGAAGTTTTCATCTAAATGATATGTAAATTTCTACTAGAGCTTGCACATATAATGAATAAAAAGTTTTAGAATGCAGTTGCTCAGAAAATTTTTGTTAGTCTTTTTTTAGAATTCCATTTTTTGTATATTTAAGGTCATAGTAGTGGAAGTTTGTCCAAACTAGCAGTTGTGTCTTCACCGCGAAGTTCATGCATTGTTGGGTCATCCATCATTTCGAAAGTAAGTTAAGATTTTTTCGCAGTGAAATTATTGCTATAAATTTTATTATTCGCTGTGATAATAAGTCGTCAAGCCTTCAACGGTGAACCATGAGGCGTATGGCAGAAATAAATTAACTCTCTTACAACAGAAAGAAAGTTCTTAATTAGTTGCAGGCTATGGCAGCACCATCAAGACATTATGTAGTCAAAAGTCCGACAAAGCCAATAAAAATGGGAAAGTAAATATTTCAGAATTCATTTTGGGTTGTTTTATCTACATTATTTGACTTTTAAGGGGCTTTTTTTCACAAAATATTTAAGAGGTCTCCAAGTATTCTCATTTGGAAACTTAAAAATTCGTGATCAGGTATTATATAAAGAATGTGAAATGTTTTGAGCCAGTGATATTTACTTCTTTAAATTTGGGATTTTTCCCTATCTTTCTTGTAGGAAGAAAAAGTGTACAGCTGATGCACAAATCGACAAATATGATTTGACGGAAAATTCGAAGTATGTCAATTTTTCAATATCGAAGAAACATTTTTTTGTGTCCAGAAAATAACGAAATTGACTTACTGCTGCAGCTTTTTGCAGAACATTTGTGAAACGTAGTGAGCGTCGTAATAGTTCGACGCCTTCACAAACCAATGCAGTATATCCCACCAAAAGTAGTCCGGTATCAGTATATTCTTCTAATGATGAATTATATATCGGAAAACGAATGGCATATGAAAAATTGTCAGAAGTTATGGATCCAGGAATCATCGAGAACCCTTCATATATTTCACCAAAACATTTCCCTCCACGTGATCGAGCATCTACTTCAGCAGCTACCAGAATATGTTTTAGGTAGGTTCGATTTATTGGCAACTTATTTAAGATAGTACTAATGTAATAGTTTAGTAGCTGATAAGCAATTATCTCGAAATTATATGTTAATCTTTGATTACCAATGAAGACATCTTGATTGATTATTAGATGGCAGATGTGACATGAGATTTAGAAATCAGGTTTTGCAGATTTTAAACTGAACCTCATATCATATGAAAAACTGAAGTTTGAAAATTTTCACATCCAACTTCATATGTTTTAATCAAGTGAAATTCCTCTACATGTGAACATAACTTCTCTTTTAGCCATACTTCATGTGATGATCAACTAATTAATTGTAGTCCGGCAGTTATGGAAAACTTCACATACAAGCCGCCAAGTGAAATTGCAGTCTCACACAATGTTGTGATGCAAGGTATGATTTTAGATATAATCTTTAAATCATGAGATTTGAACTATGTTTATGTTTATTTGTTATTAAACTTGATAAATTGTTTCTCCAATATAGTGAGACTCACTATACTGTGGGCCTCACTATATTTACTGTAAGATAATTTTTAACGTTTAAAAAGTATGAATGCAGAGCAAATTGGCGGCTAATTTCTCATCTTCATTCTAATTTATGAGTAGTTGTGAAAATATTTCAGTTTCTTTAGATAACCCTGTTGAAAGAGGTGTTGATATGTATGTAGCAAAGCATTCGTATTATTCACCTGTTAACGAAAATGGTTCTTTTTTAATTGTTGAATTTATTTAACTTTTTGTTTATTATCTACATGGGATTTTGCAGCTTTCGTGTTTGTCACATAATTTTTGGCTCTGAAATAAGTTAGACGTAAAATATTCACAGTTAATTTGCTGTCATATATGATTTAAGGTGCTTTACTTAAACATAGGAGTTATGTTTGTATATTTATTTATCATGATCTACATACTGAATGTACATATACTCACTATTATGTCTCATTTACAACATATGTATTTTACTAAAGCAAAAGTATGTTGTAATTTATCAGAAAATAAAAAATTTTACAGCTCCATTTAATGAAGATTCAGCGCTAACTAATCAGTCTTTGCTTCATGGCGTTACAATAAATGGCCGAGATTTGTGTTCACCTCTGTTGACAGTTCAGCAAACTTCGGTCTGTTTTTTCACAACAACCTCTTAGGTCTTGTATTTTTTGTTTTTAAAAAAAATGTTCCCAATTAGTGAGATTTAAGTATTGTTATCTCATTTCTTGTTTTTGCAGCTGAACGTGCCTTCACCATCTGTTGTTGACGAATGTGGCACTGACATGAGTTTTTCCTTATGTGATGGTACTGATTCTGGTGTCAAAAGGTTAAAAATAACTTTTTTTGCGTATTTAACCCTTTTCAGTAAATTTTGCAAGTGGTAGTAAAGTTGATAATGGTTTGGAATTAGATTTAAAATTCATGACTGCAGATTTTAGGCATCATGTATTATTGAAAATTCAAAAATTTTTAAGCAATTTTTGATGTGCAATCTGCTGATCTATATATAAGCTTAACTTGCAGTGAGCAAGAAGATTTCGAGGATCCACCAAAAATTCAGGCTCCCACTCTTCCTGGGGTTATAGGATTTCGACCACAACGACCATATACATTAGATCTCAATCTGCCGTCGACTCCTGCTGAAAGTGGAATAAGTACTTCGGAAAGTCCTTATCGTAGTTTTCCGAGTATTGATCACATGTCTCAAGATAATACCCCGCCACCTATTATGGATTCGAGTACAGTTTTTCCCATTGTGCATAGAAATATTATTCATATTGCATAATTCCGATTAGCGCAAACTGATTTCAAATATAATCAAGTATTTGTCAAGCTTTTATCTCGAGCTCTAGCTCTGCTGTCTCTTTATTCTCTGTCTAGTTATTTTCTATAAATGTTGAGCAAATATCATTTAGTTAGTTATATTAAATTCTCCAGTTGTTTGCTCTACTGGACTTTGTTAAAAATAAGAGATTGAAAATTTCATAGTTAATAAAAATGAAGACTGGATGAAATATTCTTCAGAGAAGTATTATAGAGTTTCCATTTTGAGCGACTCAAGTTATCCTACAAAATTTACAGCGCAACGATCGGCACCACCAATACCACCGCGTATAAATGTGAAACGTCCAGAAGATGAACAGGTAGGGCAACGTCAAAAATTAAGTCCCGTTTCGCAGTCACCTTGATGGTTACGGACGATATTTAGTTTAAAAAATTTTCTTACTCGACTTCATCGAATTTTATCTCGAATTCCAGCAATATTATGTATTTTTTCATATAATTATGGTCTAAAAAAATTATCAAAAAGACTGTAATTTCTTTCTTCCAAATCATTCCTCACTTTTACATCGACGCGGTGGATTTTTTCAAAAAATTTTGAAAATGACATATTTCAATTTTTTGTTTGCTTGTTTGCATCTACTTTCACAACTGTGTTCGTATTCTCAAATTAAGTCAAGATTTGGAACGTTTCATTGAGCCTTAACTTAAAGTTGTCGGGTTTGTCGAGTATCATGTAATTTTAGTCATTTTTTGAATTATCTGATCCGTCTTGGAGAAACTTATGGAGATGTTCTCAGTGTAACTTGTTCGTTTTCATTGATGTATTTATAACAAATCTTTCCGATCTTGAATTTGGTTTTCTTCATTAAAATGAAGAGATATCAGTAAAGTTTTTGCATTTGGAATATCCTAAAGTAAGTAGATCACGTCTAACCGACCTACATTATTTTAGAATGTTTTGCATAGGGAGAAATTGGTGTGATATATATGTTTTTTTGAGATAGTCTTTGTGTGATGTTTTCTTGGATAAAAGTTGATACTGCATCGAACTGGTGAAAAATAACGACATATGCTAACACGTGCTAGTGAATGTTGCACCGACTATGTAGATGAAAGTATTAAGATATGTGATTCAGTAGAAATTATGCTACTGTAATGAGCGAGGTACACTTTCACATCGCCGGATTATTTTTTAATTTTTCATGCAACTATTGATGGCAGCCTCAATCTAGTTTTTGGGCCCTTCATCGCTATTAGTGAGATGATTTCAAGAACTGTTATTTCTATAAATCGGTGTTGTTATTGGAATTATTAGAAAACGTAATGAGGGCATTGTTATTGATTAGATTAGTAAGCTAAGTTTCAAATAACTAAATTCAGTAGCGCAGTTTGGAATGTGGTGTTGCATTGATAGGTTTTGGTAGTGGCAAGCAGAGGTGTCGATTGCAAATTGTTGTCCAGTAGTGTTCAAATTCTTTTACTTTAACCCATGGGTGGTTTCTGCTTTTTGGAACTAAGTATTTGTGATCAGAAATTTTCTTCTTTTGTTTCGTATGGTAAAGATTACTGCAATGTTAGCTACATTTTTGTATTGCAAGAAGTATAAATAAAGTCCACAGTTACTTAAACTATGGCATGAGTGGCACTATATATGTTTTGTTTTAAAGATACCAAACTTATAGTCTAGTTGGTTAGAAACAGTTTCTGTGTATAGTTCTGTGCGTTTCATGGCAGCTGAAATAAATGTAATGAACTTCAAAAATTCTCAGATTGTTAGTGAAGCTTTCGTTTGTTTGGTATTATGAATGTGGGGTTTATTTCCATAATGCTAGTAATTAAATTTGTGAGGATAAATTGAAATATGTTATTCGTAATGCTTTGCAAAAGTATAGTCGGATGTACGTTCAAAATTTGATTCCTCATCTAAGGTGAAGGGAAGTGCTATGAATAGTGTCACTGTTATTTGTCCAAACTCACGTCGTTGTATTATAAAAGTTACTCCTTCTACTCCGATTCGGAAGGTTTGTTTTGTCAATGTATTCGTGCTGTATGATATGTAGAAATTAGAAAATACGAGAAATGTAATTTACGAAAGGTTCAGAAATAGGGACTGTGTTTTGGATTTGTATCGTAATTCACAGGATACCTAGTGAGTGAAAAATTGGATTCGAAGTTTCTATAGTATGTTGTTTTTTCAGTTGTTGCTCTTCCTGATTCTTTTATACATTTTTAGTATCTTTTCAATCTTTCACAGATTTTGGAGGAAGCTTGTCTAAAGCAGGGTTTCGATATTTGTTCTCATGAACTAAAGCATCAGAAGCATACGTTGGATTTAGCATTGCCCCTTCGTCTTACAGGTTTATCTAATAATGCTACTCTTGAGCTGGTTCCATCTGTCCACGACAACATTGTTCCAGTACGAGTTCAGATTGCTTTGCAGGTATAAAGCCTTTTCATTTATTTTTTTATCTTCAATAATTTCATAGTTGTTGAAAAACTATCCAAGGGTCTATCAGGATTTTGAAAAGTGTCTAAAACTTGCCTACAGTTTCTTTTAAGCATTCATTTTTAAATGCCTTTCAACTTATGTTTGTTATTTGTCATATTTCTGCTACTTAATATTGCATATGTTTTAATGTCAAAATTTAAGCTTAAAGCAATGTTAAGTACTTTTTACATTGGTATCAGTTTCATCGAGTTAATTAAAATATTTCAACAAAATTCATTTTTGTTTTACGTTTTGAGTCATTAGTTGTATAAATTATATATCAATACTGCAAGTTTTCGGAACCATTCTATTTCATTGATTTTAATACGGTGGTTTATGTAAAAATTTTGCGGAAGAGAAACATATCACGATACTCTTGACAATACTTAAAATATTTGGCTATTCAGCTCTCTGATGGATCTCGATTACTGCAAGATTTTCAAAGCAAAATGAATTTATGGGAAATTTTGAATGTTTTCTCAAAAGAATCACCTCATAATTTGATAAAATGTGCCGATGGTCAAGTTCCATGCTGTATTTTCATGAATAAAGAAGTAAGTGTTTAAGATATTGTATATAATAGCTTTTACTGAAAATTAGACAAATTGTCGTAGAAAGAATGAGGAAATAAGTATTGTTTTTGAAAAAAATGTATTTATAAGTGGCACAAGTTTGGAGTTAAAAATATCCTGTCCTTAACTTATATCACTGATGTGGTTCCATAATATTTTATTGATTACGACCTATTTTCAGTATCGTGGAGAGACAGAACTGAAATCAACTACTTTGGAAGCAATGGGAATAACTGCCGGGCGAAGCCTGATAAGGTAATTCTCCTATAATCCGAGATGTACTCTAGTTCACATTTACAAATTCCACCACTGCTTTGAATTAAAATCAGTTAGCTGCAACATTCTTCTGATAAATTTTTCGTTTGTACCATTTTACCTGAAAATAGAAATCAGAAACTGATTCATGGGGAGTTGCGTGAGAGCAGTAAAAAAAATACATAATAGGTATTCTGTTGTAAATATGACGGCAGATGAACTATCAAAACTCGAAAATCGTGTTGCGGAAGAAAAGGAACGGATTGCAAGATTGGAACAAGGGTATGAAGTACGAAAAACTGAAAATGAACGCCGTCTTCAATTAGAAATTGAAAGAGAAAAGGTTTCTTTTGTTTTCTTATCCTTCTGTGTCTAATGAAAGCTTTTAATTCTATTAAAGTATGTAATACGCCAGGTTGGCTTTGAATAGTATGAAATTTTTTAATAGTTATATCAAGCTTGTTAGTAGGATTAAAAGCTTTCAATGACTATTTTCATTATCAGGAATTTTGTAGCTATTCTAGAAGTTTGATTGGTTTTTATTGCAATCTATTTTATTACTCTGTTGCAGCAAATTGTAAGGATAAGTTTATAATTTTTTTTCAAATCATGGAAACATAAATGAGTAGACCAAACTTTCAGTTCGTTTTGTATTTCAGATTTTCAAGAGTGAACTTGAAAGTAAACCTAGGATAAATGCAACACAAGAATTAGATCATTGTGAGCACACTATCAGGTTTGAAGTTTTTTGAAATTTTATTAAAATAATAAAATCATGTTGCTGTAGTTTTCTTGTGCTTTATTTCGGTCAATCCTATAAATGATTTTATGCTCGGGTAATATTTTGCTCAGTCGCTATTTAAAGAAATACGGAGGTTGAATCGTCTGCTCATTCGATGTCAATCAAGCCATTGAACGATAACCCCGTTCAGCCTGTCACTGAATCTGAAATGCCGGCTGCAGCTTCAGACCGTTTGCAGCATCTATATTCACTTTTAGATGAGGTCTTTTTTTGTTAACCTATAAATCAATGATAATGTTATATTATTGGACAAGGTAAAAACAGCACCGCAGAGTCGTAGACTGATATCACTAGAATTTTTTAAGACAAGAAACATATTTGACTAGCTTATGAAGACTCGCTACTTTCGTTTTACATTTTAGTTCATTCTAAATTATTTTTTTAATCATACTGTTCCAGCAGGATTAAGCCAAATGATTATTTCGGATCCTCACTTGCTCCTTCTCTGTATTAGTTCATTTGTATAGATTACTTTTCAATTGTTTTTTCGACAGTCTTTTACAGTTATCGGCAATTATTGTAATACACTTTTCATTTTTTTAAATGGTTTTATTTCAGATTGATAACAGTTTGTCCACTAATACAGCTGATTTCCATGCTAGAAAAGTTCTTAGTGATGAAGGCCATGCAAATATGAGTACGTTGCACCAAAGAACTGAAGTAATGAAGGATGAAAAAAAAGTGAGGTTGTAAATAATATGCTGTGTGCGTGTGTGGAAGGGGGGAGGGGGTGAATTTTGTTACTTTCATTTTAGTGATTTTTCGAAGTTTTGACTTTCTTTTAAAAAAATTTTTAGTGTAGACTTTTGAAAATTTATTTACCCGATATTTTTCTAAGCTTGATGTGAAATCATATGTTGCTGGCATCCTTTATTATAGTCCTTTTCGTAATAATGCTTAACACGTCATGAAAGTATACATTACCATTTAATCTTCTTAAAGATATCTAGCGTACCTGTTGAGAGGTGCAACCGAATGCCTGTTATTATCAGACAAGATTTGGAGTTGAGTGAAACAAATACAAAAATTCTCGACGAGACAGAAAATGATATCGATGATCAGTTTTTTGATCTTACTGTCAACGATGTTCAGAGCATTCATCGCGACCTCAAAGCTCAGGCGTTAGTTTTAATTTTTATTTTCATCTTTTTTTAATCTTTGAATTAATTACTGACGAAGAACCGAAGAAGAGTTTGCGATTTATGGTTGACTCATGGTGGTCGGTATTTATTGTTAGTTAGAAGCATTCTTTGATTTATCCCAGAAAGACAACAATATTCAGTTATTCATTTGTTATTCTCATGTTACTAAAATTTATAACAGATTAAAAAAATCGATTTTTGCGACATTACCTAATTTGATAGGTTTTTTTGATAAAATGGTTTTTAGCCACGCACAACAGCAAAGAACTTTTGTGTCGAAAAAATATGTCACTGAAATTAATCAGCATCGAAAAGAAGAAAGTTACAAACACACTGTGGTACGATTCAAGTTTTCAGATGAGACAATTGTACAGGCCCAGTTCATTTCTCAAGAATTGGGTGATTCTTTTGATTTAAATTTGATTTGAATTTCATTTCCAAAGCATATTTTTTTAAGCATTTGCTTGGACACATTTTTATTTCTCTCAGAAAAATTAACGACTTTTTGATAAATTGAGGCGATATTTTCAGTATCAGAGTTATTCGAATTCATAAAAGAAAATTTAATAATTATGGAAACAAAGTTCGACATTTGTCTTGCAAATCATAAGCTTTCTCCCACTGATCAAAAAAGTCTTATTGATGTTGGCGTAGCACCAAAGTCATCACTTTACGTTCAATTTCACTCATCAGATAATACATTCGGTATCACTTCTAATTTTTCATTGAGCAGGATTGATCAAAAATAGATTTCTTAAATTTATTGCAGTTTGCTTTACATTCTTATACAAAATTTTTTGACAAATGCCTTATTTCTAGAAACTGGTGCAGCTAGAAGGTAAAGCTTGTATTGAACATTTATCAGTCATATAACTACGTTGTACTGAGATTATTAATATCGTTATGAGTAATCAAATCTTTCGTATTCCCTAGTTCTAAAACAGAGTAATTGTTTATTTTTAGATTCCCATTTTTTCCGAGACAAATTTCCTGAGGCTTCTTTATCGGTAGCTGACGCAATGAGTCGAGAATGGTTTGTGTTATTGAATTTTTTCTATAATAGGAGAGGTTTATGAAGTCAAAAATATTCTCTTTATGTATTTGACTTGATGAACTCCATATCATACGCACACAAAATATGTGATTGGAATACGACGTATTGATTTATTATAATCTTCGAGGTTTGGTAATCTAATATTGTTATATTGTTTGATAATACCTAAAATTTCAAAAAAAATAAATTTTTGTCAGTATTTTTAGTCTCGAAACTGCTCTATATATTATTTTTTGATATTTAGGTTATCTGTGAATAGTGATTATAAGCCATATATCCCTGTATTAACAGCTTCACGTGATGTTCGTCCTAGTGGAAAACGTCAGCAAGACAGAGCTGGAGAGCGAGGGATCCCACCTAAATTGAGCCAGCAGTCTTTGCCGAAATGGTTTAAAAGGCCATGAAATGAATACATATAGTAATAAAATTGTAGAAATCTCATTATCTGTTTTCAGCTTTTGAAATTGAGGTCAAAATTGGTTAACCAGATACTAGCGATAGTAGCTACGTCTGTTTCTATTATAATATGCAGTCAAGCATTATTTTGAAACTTGATCCTAATGAGTAGTTCATCACTCAGTTTAGAGCATTTCATGTTTTGTTTTCCCTTGCAAATTGAATACATGAAAAATGAAAATAGGAAATTAAAGTTGCAAAATTGATTCCTTGATGTGTTCGGTCTGTATTATCGCATTGAAATTCACAGAAAGCTAATGGGTAGAAAATTATGCAAATTTTTTTCTTCTGTTTAATTTTTATGTCATATTACATAACTTGTTTACAAACGTTGTGGGTTTATCATTGTCGATCAAAATGCTCTGTACTAAAATTCACTTTGTACAAAAATATTAGATTTCTATCGTTTTATGAGTTTGCTCTACGTCATCTCGAAAAATATGAATTGATAGGACAAAGAGTGTAGCAATTTTTCTACATGTTATATTTTTTTGTATAAATGGTTACAATGTTCATTTTTGTAGCTGCAATAAAAAGCATCTGGTAAACTAACTGCTTCTAATTTTTGCACATGAGAAAGTAATGAAGATTAAGATGTAGTTAACGTGCGCAATACAGTTTGATCCGTCCACTCGATTACTCACGAACTTTATATGACTTACAAGTTTTTGGCATTTACAGTGTTTTTATCACCGAGAGAGGATGATGTGTGTCAGTCTTACATCATCAAAAAACATAATAGTTGACATCTGAAGCAAATCAGTGTAGCTGGGTATTTCAATATCATCCAGTTACTGGAATTACAAGTCTTTGTCTATATAAGTTTCAATCCTCTGTACTTAGTAGCTGCTTTATTCTTCTAATAGTGTTAATAAGGGTGTTCGAGCTTTATATTCAACTTTTAGATTGATTAGGGATAACCAGAAGAAAAATGAGAGCTACTATGAATTCATAAGTAAGTGTATTAACTATTCACTAATCGAGGGAAACCGTTTCCGGGATAGTGCTGGTCCTGATAGTGCTGGTCCTGCGGTTTTTTGAGTTCCATGGTACTTCATTTTATTGTAATATTTATCTTAATGACACCTTTCGTCTTTTTACGTGGAACGAAAATCGGATACGTAATAAATTCCACGCTCAGCAAGGAAATTCGCGCGAACTAAACAGTGTGATTCTTCTTTAAAATGATCTACTTTGTTACGCTTATGACTATGGATGTAAAGAGTAATAACTGTTTTTATGCCATTTTTTCAATGATTTTAAGTTAACGTAAATATCGTTTGAGGGCTCAGAGAGTTCTAGTTATACGCATTTTGACAGTGTTTGTTTGCGTTATAATTATTTTTAATGACTTTAGTACCTTGTAAATGTAGTAATATCTGAAAAAATTTGCATGAAAAATAAGATTCAGTGAGTTATCGGTTTTAAATAAGAAAGATTAGAGGCACATAAATATATTATGTATATTTAATTTAGGAACCTTTAAAAAGTTTCAGGAAATAATCAGTACTTCATGCGGTTATGATATCGTTATGAATGAAGAATTTCACTTTCAAAGGTACTGTAAAATGAAGGCTTGAAATTATATCATAATTATGGCATGGACAGAAAAATCTTTTTGTATTTATATGAAATTAATTTTTGTATAAATTTCTATTCTTTATGAAAAAAGAATTTTGAAAATTGGAAATAAATTATAAAGTCAGAAATATTATTATTTCGATTCAAAAAATACAAATACGATGTTTCACCATTTGATATTTGCTATAAATTTATTCCAGAAAGTTTTTAATGAAGATTTCTACAAAGTAAAGTTATTACTTTGTTATTAATTTGAATGTGTTGTAGTCATTGTCTTTAATATGAGAAGTATGTTTCTTTTTAAATATTTTTAAATTATACACGTCAATTTCTATCTTGTCTCTAATAAGTATTTATTTATGATGAATTTTTATTCTATGATTACTTGCAAATATTGAATCGTGGAAGGTTGAGAGATTTATAATTCTGTTGATAGGAATATTTTGAATAATTGTCATAAGCTTTACATTGAAAATAATTTAAAAAGCGGTAGATAATAATTTTAAAAAACAGGTTTGATCAAAAATCTAGCATAGTAGGCAGTTTGATTGTAGGTCGAGTAATTATTTGAATATGTTTGATCAAACCACTGCTTTATTTTTCAATATTAACCACTAATTTTTATGATCTGAAGCTTTTTCAAATGCGGAAACGAACAAAAAGTTGAAGTCAAAATAAGTGACCTTACGTAAGATAGATCACGTAAATTATGCGAATTAGGAATTGAAAAATTGGTAAAATGAATTTTGATTTTTGATTTAACTTATTTGTAATATAATATGTAATCCTAATACATTCTCGTGATCAGGGAGATAAGAATGTATGAAGTGGAATAATTTACAAAAAGCATAAATTAATTGCGTGAGACTGTGGCGCAGGCTTCAAATATTCTGTCAAGCCCATGTAGATGATTTTATACTTTTGTTAATGTTGAATTATACAGAGGTAAAATTTTATAGAGTAATTTTCTCTTTTGAATTCAAAGGACTAGAGATGATTATAGGCGCGCAACAATTGGTATATTGTTTTGATTTCTAGTTCTTACAGTATTTGTTACAACTTAATTTCCGATCAAGTACAAGTGTTGACAAGTTTTTGATTTCAAGTTCTTTTTAAGTAGAAAAATAAGAATTTCGTGAAATCTTCAAATGTTTCCGAGATGAAATTCAGTTGAATTTGAAATAATTATTGGTATTTCTCTTAGGTCTGTATTAGTGGCTCGACCGCATAAACATACGTTCACGTGTGTATATATAACTACACGTTTACACATGCGTACTTCGTTACCCACATGTTTTTGTGTGTATATATGAAACATTTAAGTGAGTACTATTCTTATTTGATACTTTTGGAAGGATAAGGGAGAAAATATTTGTGGTTTGTCCCTTTTCTGACATGACAGAGCCATAAATCACATTTCTTCGCAAGCGGGGCACAATTTACTTCAAAAGAAGCAGCAGATTCGCACGGATGGATGAGAAGAAAGAGAAGGCCTGTGCCTGTGGCTACTAAACTGTGCACACTGTAAGCAATAAATCACATTTCATCGCAATTGAAGCGTAAGTTACTCTCAGTGAAAGTGAAACAGTTGCAAAGAACTGAGCAGAAAGAGAAAGACTGTGATTGCTAGAGTTGACGTAGTCACACGTCTGTCTACATCTGGATGTTTGTGTGCATTATTTATGTGAATACAATCATTTTTTTAATGCTTTGAGTGGTTGGATGGAAGATTTGATGTGACAGAAAGCTATCAATCACGTTTCTTTCCAAGTGAAGCACGGCTTATTTGAAGTGATGGATAACTGTAAACTAAAGATGTGAAGTAGTAATGCAGCATCTTTTTTTCTTGAGGGTCATAAGTTTTACTATTATATTGCAATAAGAAGATAGGGAACTAAGGGCACAGTGGAAATGAATTTGGTTTCGGAGAAATCTAAGTGAGCATTTATATTCGTACGTGTGATCTATGTTAGTGTATCACGTTTGTATATACGTGTTTATGTTGCTTCTTGTGGATGTTAAAGTGTGATTCACTGAGTTCTAGTTCTTGATCATTTGAACACAAGATTTTGCAAGTTTTTATTCGTTCGCTCGTTTTATTTTGCACGTGTTTGCGAGTTTTGCTTTTGCGTATTGATGTCTGATTTTGCATTTGTATAGATAAATGACAGAATTTGTGTTCAAATATGATGGCCATATTTGGGTTGTATTGTATGTTTCGCGTGTTTGATATAATGCTTTGCAGCGTGTGTGCTAATGCAGATTTGTAGACGCTTATTTAGTTGAGTGTGTATGCGTGTAACACGTGTACATACCATATGCTACGCAAGTACAGACACTAATACAGAGAAAGAAAAATTCTTAAAAATTAAATTTGGGACAAGTACTTAAAAAAATGCAAAAACTAATACAAAATGGTTTGTTCTTTTTATAAAATTGGTTTTATAGATGGCTAATTAACTTTTATATATTTCTTAGATGGTTCTGCAAAAGTTTAATAATTTATATGGTTGTACATTCGTTAGAAGCTTCTACAGTTTTCATATCCTTTTAGCTTGAAGTGATTTATCATTTTGTGTATTAGTTTCTCTATTGATGGATTTAATGTTTTACGTGAACTGATGAAAACCTCATGACGCATGCTCAGTGCTGTACGCAAACGTGGACCCGACAATTTCTACGTAAAATTTTTGCATTTGATGACTTGTTTGTATTCTGATTCCTCTCATTGATAGAGTTCAGTATTCTTAGCAGAATAATTAATAGATGATTTCATCAGCTCTAAATTTTAAAATGAGTAGTTTAGTTCTGTTAGTTTAATCGGAATCATTATTTCTCATTGCCATAATCTGCATTCTTGTCGCTTATTACTGTTGTTACTGTTCTCTGTTATTACTGTTGTCTTAATATTATCAAACTTGCATGTTGATTCTATAAAATGCAGTCTAGCAGTACTGCCTAATCAGAACTTAGTTTCAAAAGATTCTTCGCTTCATGGTCCTTATCGTACTGTTAGCTTATCACTTCATATCACCATGATTCCGTTACATTACAGTACTACAAATTTTAGTATCATCTAATATTTACCGTATCTCCGGTTTTGTTTCTGTGATAAACCTCTATCCGCACTTGTTTGTAGTTGCCATTTACTATTTTGTCTCTTTTATACCAGATTGTAATCATAGAAAGCAATTTCATAGCCAAATTTCTGTCTATATTTTTGTTTTCTTTAATGCCAGAACTCAGCTGTTAGCAAGTTTTAAAATGAGCTAATTATTTCATGTTTTTTATAATATCTTGGTTTTTTATAAAAATATTGAACAGAAGCTTTACAAATCATGTTTATGTTGTGTAAATCTGATGATTCAGAATGATTACATATATTCCGAACAGTACATTGATCAATCATTTGAAGACTTCTACGATCACTGAAAGTCAGGCATGGATCAGTTGTCCATTATTACACATGAATTCAACCCATCGTTACTGTCCAATAATGTTATCTGGGAATTTAACTGCTTTCAGAAATTACTGCGAGTTCAAAGTGAAAAAAAAGTGACTAATCCGTATTAATGGCTTATATAAAGTCATAATTAAAACCATTAACATATAACACCAATTTTAGTGAGAACTAACCTCGAACTGTGAAACGGAATTGTTTCAATATGCTTATTTCTAATAGATTCTATCTTTAAAGTTGAAATGTCATTTCAAGATCTTAGTTACAGAATCTGGACAAAAGGATCCACCGAAAGGAGTAAAGCATCACTTGAGGAGTCCAATAAGACAAAGTTCTAAATTTACTTTTGATGTTCAGTATCTAATTTTGAATAAATATATGCTTCCAATTGCGAGGAAAATAGTAATTGCACAAAATATATTTAGGCCATTTGAAGGGTTCATAACAAGGGAAGCTGTAGCATGCAACAAGGAACAGAACGATTTACAAAAAACTGAATTCAAAGATTATTGACAATTCCGTACAGTTATTGCACCAAATTGTTTTTAATTTTAAAAGGACTTTACATATTAATCAGATGGTCACTCAATACGACCATGAGAGAGAAAAGAAAAAATCTTTTGTAAGAATGCATTTTCTTTCAGTAACAGATCTACTTTTGTGATTGCCGGATCAACAAGTCGTTCGTACAAAATTATAGCACCGTATGTTTGAGGGAGATACAAGTAGAGCAATAATAATGCCTGGAAGCAATAATACAGTAACATTATACGTCAAAGAAATGGTTGTTACTAACAAATATTTCAAGACTCCATGCTTTTGAAAAAAGCTTTGAAAGATAAGATTGATTAAATTGCCTTTATCAGGGAGCTGTAAACATTTATGATGTATTTTAAGTAAACTTTGCGTCTTATATAACTCCAACTTTTCTGACAAAAACATAATTATTCCTTTAGAAGTAAATTCGAAATTTATCAGAAACAAACCTTGAAGACCCAATAAATCGGAAAGTAGCAAAAAATTATTTCCGCAAAAGAATCAACTAGCGAAAATGCACCAAATACCGTCCAATAAATAAGCCAATGAGTGTCGTCATCTTTCTGTGCTGTGCGAATCGCCTGCAATTCATAACTGGAAACGAAATTACAATTTCCAACTCAAAGTTATCAATATGTCTCGAAGATATAATCAGTAAATAAGGGTAAATAAACTGATGCTCCTGTAAAGCATCCTTTCTACATTTCCTCTGGCTAAAAAACTTCCTGTAGTTTTAATTGTAATTTGTGTGCGCTATTGAAATTCTTATGCGAATGACTAATTAACAACTTTAAGGTACCTAATTTTCATTGGTTTTCTAGTTAATCACATTATGTTCCAACTATCTTCCACATAGTTTTTTTGTCATACAAAAATGATTTCTCTTACCTTGACAGAAGCATAAGCTGGAAATGCGAAACCAATTAAATTACAAACTATTTTAGCAAATGCTCCAAAAACCATATACAGAGCCGCAATGCTAATGACAACATATAATATCTAAAAACTTGGAGTTTTTAATGAAATAATGTTAATGTGAAATAATATGATAAAGCGATAAGCAAAAGGAAGAACTTCAAGAATCAGTGATAAAATGTAAATAGAAAAATTGTGAAAAATATTTGTATGAAAGAGTTTTTGCTCATTTTTGTTTTTACTCCATTTAAAGAGCTGAAATTGGTTTCATTGAAAACAAACATCATTTCATCGAGGAGAACTCATTATTACATGAATTTTGTATACATAAACAAAAACTCCTTTAGAGTCTAATTGCTTAGAACGAGCATTCAGAAAAGTAAATACAGAACATGCTGGATAGCTACTTATTCCTTTAAATATTTTCTTAACCAAATTTTGATCAACCAATTTTGTCTAAAATATATCATAATTACTCTATAATAAATGTATACAAATATGAATGCCGTATATTTCCGAATATCCTCTGTAGATATTTCTATTTTCTATCAAAATCACAAAACTTAGTAACCCTTAAAATATCGTTAGAATCTCTACATATATTTTTATTTTCTAGCGGAATTATAAAACTTAGTAACCCTTAAAATATCGTAAATGAAAAATGCTGAAGAAATTGATCTTAATCAAAAAAAAACTTCAATGAATAATTTTAATTTATGCATAAACTAATTCAACCTAATATTGATCAAAGTAACCTTTTCTCGATTCAGATGCGTTTTTTGTTCCAAACTGACGAATGCCTGTTCCGCTACTTTATTTTCTTTTGGATAAAGTAAACTGTGAAAAACCGCTTTCAAATCATTTAGCGAATTGATCGTCACACCTTTTTTGAGATCACCACCTGCTGCTTCTGTCATTCTGTATCTGATATTCATAGCGTTACATACACGTCATATACGTCAAAGCATACCAAAAACTACTAGTACGAAAAAAAAAGATTTTAAATCGATAAAATTTTTATCTCAAATACACTCAAAGATATTCAATACTATTGCATTTTATTCCGAATTTTAACTTTGAAAACAATTATTTTACATTCATTAATAATTTCAAATAACTCTAACTTATTGAAGTATTTCAAACTTGAAACGGAAATGACTAAAGTTCAATAATCTGCAAATTCAAATATTTTTATAAAAATTTTTCCTATTTTCAGCAAAAGTATTAACGTAATAGCAGTCTGATACTAATCAATAAAAGTAATAAATACT